ACGAACCGACGACTGAATGATATGATAATAATAATAATCTATCTTGGTGCTTTAGGTCTATAAACAAAAGTTATATGGTCCTAAGTACGTGTGGTTTTTGTTTGGTTTATTGAGTCCTCACATCGCGATTAAATTGCGTTCTGAGGAGTTTCGTAAACTGACATGCACTAGAGAACAGTTAAAAGAGGTCATCCAAGGGATGTTTGGCATACGATCAGTTCAACTGAGAACTGACAACGTCACAACTTACTCTGGACTGGTACGTTGCCATATATAAGTTTCTTCAAGGGCGATGATTCTAGGGGGGCTTGTAGCCAACAACCAGTTTTAGTCGAAAAATACAGAAATTGAATTTATGAAATAAGTAAATAAAAAAACTTAATGGGACTCATTCTGAACAGCAACTAAAGTAGCGAATTTTATCTGAAAGAAATTTCATTTTCCGCACGAGCCCTAAATCTATCCATCTAACGCTTTTTTATTGGTTAGTCGCACCCCCACCTCGTGGTGATCTGGAACCCCAGCTTCTACTTCCAATAGTCCTGTTATGACTAATAGTTATATTTTATAATATTGTTAATGATACTTTATGATTCGTTGTAATTGCTGTCAATGGCTATGAATACTCAACTATACTATCATAATTTTTACCAGTGAAATCATTTTGACGTATTATCAAGTTTTAATCCAAAATATCTACATATCATTACATATTGTTTTACAAGAATGCAGACGAATACCTGGAACTGATGAAGGAAAGAGCCCCTTATGTAAAGAACTCAAACATTTCTACATATGCCTTCGATTCGGTGTTCATGGCTGCAAGAGCGTTTTCGAGAGTCTCCAAGACTAGCACTCCAGCAGATAACTTCACTTACAAGTCACGCAGTCACCTTAAAGCCTTRAACAAGATACTGATGGCAGATAGTTTTGAAGGAGTCTCGGTAATAAATGCGCGCACATGCGATGAATCACCATCATTATGTCATTGACCACATCACTGTACTTTGTWGTTTATATAATAATATAGTAAATTATTTTTGATTATTGGCCTTCATCATTAGAATTCAGTTTTAAAATCAAATTATGATATTATAAAGCATGTTTTCCGTTCAAAAGTCGTACTTCAGATTTTCTTACTTTTCCTGGCACCGTGCTTTGTCATCATCATCATTATCACAATCTACTAATTCCATATTTCACTTAAATGTTGCTTTATTGATACGAACTCGCTTGTGTTTTCCTTTTATGTCTTTCTCCAGGGACCATTACGATTCAATAAGAAGAAAGACCGATTTGGTACAGTCTCCATCTCACAAATTCATAACGGTAAGTATCATGGGATGGTAAAGTAGCGCGAAYGACGTAGGTAGTTGTCATGTTAAGACCAACTTTCACGGTACAACTTTTCCTTACAACCATCGCATGCAGCATGCGTAAGTCATCCTTACAACATGGCTACAACTGTCGTAGGAATTTTAAAACTTTTGCTTAATAGCCCCACGACAGTTGTAGCCATGTTGTAAAGGATGACTTACGCAGGTTGCATGCGATGGAAGTTGTACCTTTACACGACCGCAAAGACTGATCCAATATCTACTTAACAGCTTATTTGTTGTCTTGTTGATTTAAGAGAGCTGGAAGTTGATTGGACAACACTTCACATTCGATGATAAGCTTGAACTGGATGATGCCTCAAGTATATGGCCTGGTAACGAATACAGAAACCATGATGACGATAAACTGTAGTTATGATTGCTGTCATGATGATGATTGTGGTGAAGCCTCGAGTGGTTAACAATATGGCAATGATTACTTGATTCTTTGCCAGTGATTTCTTTCCTTTGTCATCTCACCTTGTATAACATAATGATATTTTCATTTGTCTTCTCTTCCACATTCATTTAATCGTCTTCTTCTTCCTCGTCCCCTTCATTTTCTCATTTAACTTTCTTGTTACTGTGAGCTGTTCTTCTTGTTCTTGTACATCTTTGTGTGAAATCTTTCACTTCATATTAATGACTTTTGTTCTTTCTGTTCTTCACCATCATGATCACGATATCGATCATCTTGTTGTTGTTGATGTTGTTGTTGTTGTTGCTGCTGTTATTGTTATTGTTGTTGTTGTTGCTGTTGTTGCTGTTGTTGTTGCTGTTGTTGTTGCTGTTGATGTTGTTGTTGTTGTTGTTGTTGCTGTTGTTGCTGTTGTTGTTGTTGTTGTTGTTGTTATTGTTATTGTTGTTGTTGTTGTTGATGTTGTTGTTGTTGTTGTTGTTGTTGTTGTTGATGTTGTTGATATTGTTGTTGTTGTTGTTGTTGATGTTGATGTTGTTGATATTGTTGTTGTTGTTGTTGTTGATGTTGTTGATGTTGATGTTATTGTTGTTATTGTTGTTGTTGTTGTTGTTCTTCTTCTTCTTTTCACCACTTTTCCCCTTGCTATTGCATTTATTTTACTGTTCTTCTTTGTATTTATTCAGGTGGTCATGTCCCCAAGGATCAAATGATACGAAAAGAGAAACTTCTCATGAACGACATTACTCTAATCGTCGTGATTTGGCTTCTGGCCATCATTGGMATTCTACTCTCGCTTGCGTTTTTATATTTCAACATTGCTTATCGGGACAACAGGTACGATAATTAACACTTATTTACTGGAACCGAGGGAAACAGTATGTTTTGTGGTCCCGAGACCGCTGATGATGAAACATCAGCGGTCGAGGGACCGCAAAACATACTGTTTCCCGAGGTTTCCAGTAAATAAGTACTTTATTATCATATCAAGTGTCAAAGAGAGCAAAAAACGTAAATAAATGAAGTGTTTTTATTAAAGATTTTGATAAAATGACTGAAAAATGGCAATACAAATAGTCAAATGTCACTAAAATCAATCAATGTAATAACACAATGAATACAATAACTATTTGTAGACGAAATTAAATGTTTCAAAACAATTTTGGAATTCACCGTCCGTAAATGTGGCATTTTCACGACACTGAAGAGTGTTTTTCTGCGATTTTGTACTTATTGACGGTCCACAACATATTATTGATCGCTGGTGGACAGTTGCCGGGAAACAGTAAACTTTTGTGACTTTCACGTGGTACACTCTCGACCAATAAGATACTAGGAAAAGTGAACTTTGACACTTGATATATAATAATTACATTTATTTCGCATGGACGCATCCAGGATTTTCATTAGAGACTTAGGGTGAAAACACGGATTCTTAACCTTAAYATCAATCCATCCATTCATTCAACTCATAAATCAATCCATTCCATTTCTAGATATTTCATTTATTCTCTTGTAATTCGATCCTTTAGGCTGATAAAGATGTCTTCTCCGCAACTTAACAACCTCATCATCCTTGGTTGCCTTCTTTGTTACGTATCAACAATTTTGTTCGGTCTTGACGCTCGATTTCTTTCCTTTTACACTTACGGATTTAACTGCAACGTAAGTAACGCGTTTCAATCACGTGSAAAAGATCGTTACGTATACGTGAGTTGATTTATTGTTGTTTTGTAGGCTCGTACGGCYGTAATGTCMATAGGSTTCTCTCTTGCGTTTGGCGCAATGTTCAGCAAGACTTGGCGAGTCCATAAGATCTTCACAGCCGCAAAAACGCTAAAAAAGATGGTAAAGATGGTAAACTCACGTAAACATAACTTTTACGTAACGCAACTGTGACGTAACGTAAACCTTGTTGCTGCTGTAGCATTCACCACAGTACAACGTAAATTTAACGTAACGTGTGACTGTCCCAAGTGAGTACAGTACAACGTAAAAACACCGTAACTGTTTGACGTATACGTGACGTATGACCTYAAGTATGGCTATCATTGTATGACGTAAATGCTTTATATTTGACGTCACGGAGTTGCGGAAATGACGTCATTAGTACTTTTTTCTGATTTCCAGGCTATCAAGGATATTCACTTGTTTGGTATTGTTGCTGTTCTGGTTGTCATCGATACTTTTTATCTGTCACTCTGGTTCGGTTACGATCCACTGAAAGCCACAAAACTAAACTTCACTCTTCAGGTAAAYACTGGAACAAGTAAAAAAATATCTTAAATAAATGATTTTCGAATCGTCTGCGTAGTAACCTGGACTTGTCACGTGACTAGTGGAACATGTTAGTTGAGTTGTGTATATAGACGCCATGTTGTCGATCAATTGACTCGAGCACACAGCAATAAAGTTACGTTTATCGCGGTAATTACTACAGTCTGCCATTGAATGGTCGATTTCGAAAACTCTAACGTTTGATGACGGACTAACTTGCTTACACACTTTAGCGTAGCATTGTCCTTCTTTGTCACGTACTGAACGGAAGCCAAAAAATAAATGTGTTTTTTTTCCTTTTTTTGAATGACAGGAAGAAACMATCAATGACGTCATCTATGTCCCAGTCCTCTACCAATGCACGTGCCAGTATAAGACATACTTTATTGCCGCYATGTACGCCTACAAAGGGATTCTTCTCTTGTTTGGACTTTTCCTGGCATGGGAAACACGCAACGTGACAATTCCCGCCTTGAACGACTCCAAGTACATTGGGATGTCTGTGTACAATGTTGTCACGCTATCTCTAATAGGTGCCATTGTCACGACAGCCTTGGATAACACAATCCACTACGAAGCGCCATATGCTATATCGTCACTCTGTCTGATAATTTGTACGACCGCTACGTTACTTCTTGTATTTGTGCCAAAGGTAACAATTGTGTTACATGTGACAAAGATTATGTGACTCTAATTAGCATATATAGTCTATGTGACTGTTCAGTAAATTGAATTATAATTGCGTGACTCTTTCAGGTGTACWGTTTTATATTGGGATCCGAAGAACAAACATTTAACACGACGACAATAAACAATGGCGTCTCTTCCATGGGACGAAGTCACGGTAGTCACGCATTCCGATTTGAATCSGAGAGCAGTGCGAAGCCAAAGCATTTCTCCACTAAGGGAGTTCAAACGAACCATCAAGAGCTTACTGCAAGTTCAGGTCAGTGAAAACAYCAAGGAACGCATGCGCGGTCATGATATCCCACAYTGYACTGTCAACGTAACGTTACACAYGTCACGCCAKCATCATATCACGCACTGCAAASCTWCTACAACATGTCACCTTATAGAAATGTCAGATATCAMTATGTCAAAGATCACACACTCGCAGCTCTTTCAGTGTCGGGGTCCCTGTGGAGAAAGCACTGGGATCATGTCATGAAAGGTGCTGTCAATCAATAGCACTGTCAGTCCCTGATCTGTCTGTCTGTCTGWTCATCTTCATYAGTCCAAATGTTTTATGTCCTCTCATTAACGCACGCGCTTCGCTGGGGGTATATCTTAGGAAAGTTACCATAGCAACAGCTGATGAATTAACAAACGTAACTGTAACCATAGCAACAATGATTACTGAAACTAACATTTGATTACTAATGGCTGTAATAGCTAGCCGACTTGCTGGTGTAAGTCATACATTAAATAACGTCATGACTGAATTATAGGATTCGTTCCAGGTATCTTTACAAGCACACACTGAACGGAATATTATATAAAAGTGGCATGAACTATTGTCAATAAATAGGGATTATTTGACGCCTTAAATGAGATTCTTCCTCCATAAAAGCAATCATTCCAAGAATGACGATAATGCTTGATGAAAAAAATCATCAGAAAAAGTAGATGACTATTTTTTCATTTAGAAAAGTAGTGAAAAGGACTTCAGTCATTTTGTCAATGGAAATCACTCCTACTTTCTTGACTTCCCTAGGAAAAATTTCACAGGAAGCCCGGTAGGGGCAATTTCTTTGTTTAGTGGTGTCTTATATTCAAGAACTCAAAGTAATATAGTTTTTTATAGTTAGAGCAAGAAAACTGAAATTATTGGCTTTCATTAGTTGTTAACTATGACGTAATAATCATTCCACCAATCAAGCATGGCATGAGATCTTACACAATAACCTCAAGGCATCCAATCGCAACGAGCCTTGCACGATGGTCTAACCAATCAAATAAGGGTTTAATCTTAACTTATGACGTCATTACTTAATCAGCTAATTGTGCATGACGTAACAAATGACGTCAYTTCTTGGTTAGCTGATTGGGGATGACTTCCAATAATGGGGCACWATAGCCTGCGATACTTCCTAACAGCGGTCYATACTAATTCTTTCCGAATTCTGAATTGTGGCATTTTTTTAACAATGATACGTACTTGAATCACGTGACTATTTGTTAGACACGTGACATCTTTGTATTCTATTGGAATGTCTGATCTTTCAATCGAGGCTGATGTGGAAAAAGTACACTCGTYAGCCTCGTGTACTTTCTCGGTACCAGTCTTTCCGCTAGAATACGAATATAGTGTGTAAATCTAGGTATATGCTACCATACCCTTGGTCGTATTTCCTCAGGGGTGGTATATCGGTTAATAATATTTTGAATTTTTTTTTTTTGGGGGGGGGGAGGTGAGCTTAAATCAATTTACTTACAATTTCTCTCGACTGTCTTAACAAAAATTAAAGAAACGAATTTTGCTGTTGTACTAATAACAAAGCAACTTTGTATTTAGTCTTATTTAGTCCTGAAGTTTTGCATAATTCATGGACCTGATTGACAGCTGTCAATCTAATGGATCAACCAATCAAAATAGACTGTAAGTTTCATAACTCCACTTACAAATATATGGCTGAGTACGCTCGGCCCCATGTATATTTAAAGCCGTAAGTCCAGATAACGATGTCCGTGATATAATGGTGACCGTAATATAGAGGTGTCCGTAATATAGAGGTGTTCGTAATATAGAGGTGTCCGTAATATAGAGGTGTCCACTCTTTGCATGCGACATAACACATAATCTTCAGTATTCGATTTCTAACTATGATATTATGGAAGATAACAAATGACTAACTTACAATTCCTTGCACTTAGTAACAGTTACGGCGTACTTTCCATTCTATGAAAACATACCACGTACAAATGCTTGACGATGATTTCGATTTTTTACAAGCACGAGATCTGACAATGACGCAATAAGACAGGAGATGACGTCATCAGCTTATATTCAATGCGTGTGGATATTATTTCGATCCCAATTTCTACACTCGTTCATATTTTATCAGATAAAACCGTTCGTTTGCGTTCAGTTCTCCATACCCATTTGACGAACCATGTTCATATTTTTTTACTCAGTGATATTATTATCCTAAACCCCTTTCGGGCCTAGCCTCTTAACCTCTGCTCCCCCCTGTCCTCCATTCTTCCTTCTATCCTGTCATATTCCATACTCGATCACCAATATTGCATTTTTCGTTTTCCCAGTATTCGTTATACCAAAACTATAACAATCCAAATAATATCGATACAACGATTATCTGTTCTCAATCATTATACTTGAACGTTTCATTCCAAAGTCCAAAAATTCGTTTTGTACATATTGGACATCATTGTTTATACAAACAAAGCTTATCTTCGTCACGCACATAAACTAAATGGCGTCATCGATTCGATCCCAGTCTACTAACGGTATTTTTCTCAGATATCGGCTATGACACGTGGTTATGACATGCACACAACTCACTCTCACTAACAGGAACCCTAATATGGTTTAAGGTAGGATTCTGCACCATTTTTTCCAGAATGGGGCAGTAATGATTTTAATATCTCAGGCTAATTGTTAATTCTATTGACTTATTAATTAGATTTTAATAATTGATGATTAATTGATATTAATTGATTAACATAAGACCTTATTGCGTATTAATTAAAAATTGAAGGAGACGCGATTCTCGTTTTGCAGTCAGATTTAGTTCATCTATGAAAATAGCCTCTCCTTCAAATTTTAATTAATAATTGATTGATTAATATAACTATTAATGATATAATTATTAACAATAATGTTCAAACAAAAGACCGTTTTTAAGATTAAGATGAAAAGTGTAGGTTTTTTTGGACAATGTTGGGAAATATAGCATTGCAGGTAAAATCTTACTAAATGTCAYTTGCGCAAGGATTAGCCAGGTAAAWTGTTGATTATTAGTTTCAYATAAAGTGCTTGCACGCGCGTTGGATGGACAGAATGTTAGAGATAYAACGCGCTAACGCGCGCGCGATATATATTTAATTTGAACTGAGGTTAGGCAACATTTGACAGTCGGTTAGTGCGCAGCTGAAGAAAAGGAATTTGCAATGTGCCATTTGATTTTTAGCAATAACATCTATGACTTTGTAAAAATTGGCCGAATTCAAGGCTGCAATTACTAGCGCTCCCTCTCGCTTTCGTCATTTTAATATGTATTTTTTTGTCTGTTCAGGAAAGGAAAATGAAAATATGGGTAGTACTAAAAGCAACCTGAACCAAGGCTTTGATGTAAACATGGACGATATAGAAATAAATGATAATGTTAATATTCCCGAAACTCGCTACGACCAAGAAGTGACCGAGAATGGACTGGTGACGTTTATGCTGACTGATATGTGAAAAGGAGGTGGACTGAAACGAGTGTCGATGACATCACTTCCGGACAAGTCACGTGATGATAGAAAGATTGTCATGTGTGTAAATCTAAACTGCATAATCAAGAAACCAACACAACCCTGACTGCCTATCAAGACGTATGCAATCAATATGGCAGCATCCCCTATCACTTAACACAATATATTAGTAAGTGTTTTCCTTGCTGTCTGGTTGTATAATCAATGGTAAATGTGAAAATAGAGCCACCTTTGACTGACTGGGGCGATGATGTCACTTCTAGTCACTGATTCACATCTAGCAGCACATCTTCCAGAAACTACTTTCTCACGTGAAATAGAGTAACTTAAATGTATGTCAGAGAAAGATGTCACCTAGAGCAATTGTCACTTCCATGGTAGCTGGTTTGGTAGGCTAGTGGTGGAGCACACATCACACTACTGATTTGAGCTACACTTACAATGTTAGCAAGAACACCACTAGCATGAAGATCAACAATTCACAAAGGCAACTTCATAGTCTTCTTGCATTGAACACAGCTGTGCTATTGCACTGAAAGAGGGGTATCAAGTATGTTTGGTCTCACAAGGATTGCATTGTTCTCCTCTGTGGCTGTTTCCTGAAAAATACAGGTTTCCGAGGAGACTGCTAATTAAGGCCTAGATAACAAGACTTCCTATTTATCAAAGCTTCCATATTCACTTTCAAAGTTTTATTCAAACATTACCTGATTAAAGCTGGGAGTATTCTGAAGGGGCATCCCAGTGAGATATTGCACTCCATTAAATGACAACCCTTCTCATGTAAATATCAAAGCTGTGCATGGAAAGGGATTTTGCTGTGATGTAAATATGTAATGAACAAGCAAATTCTATAAATAACCATAAATCAAGTTACTACAACAACAAACATCTTTGTTGAAATGAAAACTTGACACTCAAACTTAGACAACTAACATATCCAGGTAAAAAAATGTTACAACATGGCAAAACACCAAAATAAAGATATATAATAAATAYGTCTCCCAGCTGCAAAGAAGACACCAAACTACAGCAACATATAACTTCAGGTATTAACCTTTATCAGAAAAAAGAATGGGTATGCTGAATAATCATAATGGACTTATAACTCAGGCTTCAATGCACAACTTCAAAAACGTTTTGTTATTCAACAATGGTTTCAAAATAATGAGAAATAAATAGAAAATATTGCTAACTATATACTATAGCAAAATAAAGAGCTATTGCAAACTGAAAGTTTAATTTCTTGATTGTTCTGTCAATAGTCTCCTTCACCTGCGCCATCTTGAAAGATAGCCTTGCCTTTACATTGAAGCGAGACAACTGTTGAGGGTGCAATGATAAATACCTGTGAATAATTGTCCGTACATGTATGTGTGAAAGAAGGTTTATCTTAACAGTTGTCTCGCTTCAATGCAAAGGCATGGCTACCTTTCAAGATAGTGAAGGGAACCATAAAGAAGACTATTCTGTATTTATATTATTACTAAGTTTCATGTTTGTTTGTTATGGTAAGTCCAAGAGAGCTAAACCAATCTCTGTGATCCATCTTAAAAGTCCCTTGTTTAGCTTCAGCCTTCAGTTTACATACACTATCTTCTAGTTTGTTTGAAGAATTAACTGCTGCTTCTAAAGTGGTAAAGGTTTCTCCTGTATCCTCACTGCTCTTAGCAACATCAACATCTGAACCAAATATGATTTCTTTTGCTTTAGCATTGACAGTTGTGGGCTGTTGAGACTTTTCAATTGTTGCTACAATGTCACCTTGGTTAACGATTAAAAATAATTAGTTAATGATTGATAATAGTTAATAATTTAAGTAAGCTCAACAAGAATATTAGTGGTGATATTAATGGAGAATGCAGACATATTGTAGAGTGATCGCACTTAAACCGTTCAACTGTACAAAATCCAAGTTGTAGCACTATTATTTGAACTAAAAGTGGACCTGAAGCAAGACGGTATTGAATGCTTCATTTGTATCAATTCAATTTAATTTGCGTACCACATGCACGATTTTCTAAATACAACTAAATAGCACTATTTAGTTTGTTCAGTTGCACTGTTTAAGCGCAATGACCCTAAAAGTATGGAAAGTCTTATTATTCTGGGGCTTAGTAGTTGCAAGAAGGGTTATTAAATGCACTCTCCATTAGATAATAACCATGAGAGAAAGTATTGAACTAGTCGGCCCTGTATGTATATGTACATGTATAGGTGATGCGCACCCACTGTAACCATCAGTAGGAACCAACAATGGCTTAGCACAATAAAAATGGTTACCTTGTTTGGTTGTGAGATCAATGTTTGTAGATTGAGACAAGTGTATGCTAATATTTCCTTCACTTGTCTCAGCAGAGAGGTCTCCTGTCACTGAACTCACAGAAATATCACCTTCTTGAGCTTTGACATCTATTATACCTATAAATATTTTACAGTAGCCACCATAAATGCCTATTACTGTTAATAAGCAATGTGCAGCAATGCCATTTTGTGCAGCAAGGGAACATGGTAGTTGTAGTCCTTGATGTACTTTTTTATGTCCACCCAAACAGTCCTCCTACCAAGTTTTTGCTTTTTCTAACCGAAAATARAAGTATTTGTGCTGTTTTTAAAAAKAAAAYGTAAAATTGGCKTTTAGGGAGATATTTTAKKRTCTATGAAAAGTGCGAGGAGTACAACTACCATCATGCTTTGCTGCACAAAATGGCGTCACTGCACATGGCCTATTAGTGCATCACGTACAATTCAAAAGGACAAATCATCTAATTTGTATCTACTGTACATGTATATACAACTTCACATAAAAAAAAACATCACATATTGAACAATCAACCTACCATGGATATCTCCAAGTTTTACACTTCCACTTTCTGTGTTTAYTTCTCCCCGCTGTAAGTATAGTGGACCAGTAGAAATRTTTCCAGATTCAGARTCAAGACAGAACTTACGACCTTGTAACTTCCCAACCGATATCTCTCCAGTGTTTCCAGCTTCAAGAGTAGCAAATTCTGCTAATAAGGTTGACTTTGAAATGATATTTCCATGGTTTGTTTTGACATGTAAATCAGTGCCTTTGATGCTTGAAACATAACAGTTTCCTTTATCTGTTATGATATCATAAATCCAGCCACCTTCAAGGTTATTGATATGTACATCGGCATCGTCTGCGGCATTTACYTTGAGGTTAAACTGCAGGGGGACCTCAATGGTGATGCTGATATCTTCAGGAGGAAAGGATAATTTACGCTGCGGTTTGCCTTTCACCTTAAAARATRAAGTAAAATCAACTAAACAGAAMTRAAATATTATGATCAGTGATATTTTACAAACAGGAGTCAGGATGGGTGGGGAGCTTGCCCACAAACATCAGTAGGGAGGTGAGGGGAGGGAGGGAGCCTTGTAAAAACCATAAGGGGGGAAATATCGTGTGTAGATACAGAAAGGAGGAAGGGTTTTCTTTGAGGATGATCTTAAAATGAAAAATTGAAACATATGTCAAAAGAGACATGTAATATTAAACACAATATATTGCAAAATATAACTAAGTATTACCACTAAATAATGCTCTCGTCTTTTGATATTCAACTGAGGATTATAAGAAATGTCTTTAGACAATTTATCAAAGAATTCTTCATTGATTACAACATCTGAGTCATCAGGGAGCGCGATGTTCAAAGATACTCGCGCAGGGGCTTTGGTATCCTCGTCGTCTTCAAAGAGCTTCATCATGTCATAATCATATTCTATCGATTCCAAAGGATCTATAGACTTAATATAGGTAGTGAAATGAGTTTCAATTTCGGCAATCCCTGTAGAAATTGTAGAGACRGTCCAACTATCGACGCAATGAGTAGTTTTGCAACGACGAGCCGGAAAACGRAGAAGATTTGTAAAATATAARCCCGATCTTTGCAAGATCGTTCCTCGTAGAACACGCAGCATATTAGAGTAGATGCAATCCTATTTTCGTTACTATTTTTGTGATTTTCTGGGATGTTATTTAGCTTGAACAAGTGCCACACCGTCCACCATTTTGTCTAAACTGACACAGGAAACCCAAGCTAATTGTCAGCAGTATGCATCGCGGGCTTACACCACATTCAAAATGGCGACCAATTTTGATGCTGAACTTCGAAAGGTTGGTTAAAAATCATTGTAATATTCTCCTCTTAACGCTAAGAACGAAAATGGATACATGATTCAATAGAATATAGAGTTTAAAGTCAAATT